TTTCCCTGTTTCTTTGTATGCCTTGTGATCTTTTGTTGAAAATTGGGCATTTGAAAAATAGCCACCTCTTCCAGTCCCTGGAAACTGGCTCTGTGTGGATAAAGATGTTCACTGGATAGTCCAGCATGAACACTGAAGCTATTCTCAGATCTTTTTGCAGCATGTATCTTCCCTAGGCCTGTGTGTGCACGTCTCACACCACTCTCTCCACTTATATAGCTATCTTAAAATGTCTTAATTTCCCTAAAAGTTTCACTCTTGCTTTTTCTTGAGGCCGTAGGTGTTCTACTGTTTCTCTATGGTTTTTAGAAAATAGACGTGGTTGAAGGAAACCTATTTTTAATAAAACACATCCACATCCAGCCTACAGGCATAACTTCATTATCACCATGGTATTATCTCTTGTATTTTTCTCTAAATGTTATCACTTTTTGAGATTATTTCAATATGGAGAGATGATATTTCTTCTTATGATGCAAATGGAAGATAAATATTGAAGTTTCCTAAGGAGAGGTACAGATGGAATACTATAAAAAATGTTGGTATCCTTTATTTTATCTCCTTTTTAAGAGAATTGAATGTGTTGGTTAGGCTTTTTTCCCTTTTTATCCCAAATGAAATGTTATATAAACCTTGTAGGTTTTCTGCTTATGATTGTCAATATTTTGTCCTTTGCATTTGAATACATTAAAAATACATTTGGATTTAAGTAAACTATGTGTGTTATGGACATTTTTATGTGACAAACTAAACTGTTCTCTGAAGGGTGATAAGTAATTTGATTGGCAATAAATATGACATAAATAGCTAGGTTACAGATCCACTTTAGTTTGGTCTGTAGCACCAACATGTCCCTAGACAATTACAGCATTGAATATCATCTGGAATTCAACACAAGTGTTTCAACTGATGCATTCATTCACTGAAGGTCTGACTTATAAAAGCATCTCTATATATGGAGTATTAAATATTTGTCTTTGTACCTCTAGACCTCTCTTGGGAATATAATATGCCAACATTGGCTTTGTTCTCCTTCCAGAGCATCTGAATTATCATGTTGCAAGCTCCTTACATATTTCATTTCTCAGGCTGCTGCACAGCACCGTACCTATTCTGTGGGCCTGGCATGTTTAGTTAATTGCTTTCAGGTGTTGGCTGGTAGGAAGTCATTGAAAAGCAAAGCCAATTAGTACTACTTCCCACGGTAATAAAAATTAGCGTGCAGGAGACTGTTGAAGAAAAAGTAACTCCAAAAATGGTAACTGTGTTTTGCAATCCAGGCATCAGATAAATGAAACTATATGTAATTGCAAATTAATCTTTAGCAAATAGCTACATTTAAAAAGTTTATTATTAATGTGTATTTAGCTAATGGCGGTGTAGCTCTATACCCTTTCAGATCTCTATTATACCATTTAATTAATTCAGTGATCAATTTCTAAACACTTATTAAGAGAATCAGAGATTAAGCACTTCAAGGAACTGAAAGTTGTCTAAGATGTGATCTTATTTTAAGGTGATAAAAAAATTCAGCAAGGATATGATGACATGGATTTAAGCATTATAATCACTATCAACACCATTATTATTATTATAATTATAATTATCATAGCTGCTACCATTCATTCATTCATTTTCTACTATCTGTGGTATACCCAGTATGTGCCAAACACTGTTCAAAATGCTAGGGATATAGCGAGAGTAAGATAAACTAGGTTACTTACAAAGCTTCTCTTTTGGAGAGCTGAGACAGATAAAATAAATATTTAAACAACTTAATATATATATGTGTATATATATATATATATATATACACACACACACACGCACACATATATATACAGCTTAATATATATATATACACACACACACACACATAGATAGATGATATATATAGAGATAGATGATTAAATATAACATGATATATGATATACCCCAAAATTATAACTCGATAAAGAAAATTTAAGCTGAGTGAGGGGATAGAAGATATGGAATGTTATTTTAGGAAGATTATCAGGTGAGGTTCCCCAAGGAAGCAGCATTTGAAATGAAACTTAAATGATGAGAAAGAGTTATCTGTTCAGGTGTGTGGAGGAAGAACATCCTAAGCAGTTCACTTAGTGTGAACTTTCTTATTGTACATTTAAGTAAGAGTTTTGTTTAATTTGTTTTAATCCTTTTAAAATTTAAAAGTAATTATCTTTCTAATTACAGTTCACGTTTTTTAAAAAATCTGAGACTCGGAAAAATTTACAAACATGTTTGTAGTATCATCGATATTAAGTAGTAGAGTTGGAGTCAAACCTTTTGGTACAATGTATTTCAGGCATTTCTTTTTCATAGGAAGGAAAATTAGATCTGGATTTTATAATTAGGGAAAATTCCCAAAAGAAGAGACATTTAAGCACAATGGTGAAGCATTGACAGTGTCTATAATCAAATGTATGTGAAAGAAATTGAATAGAGGAGAATTAGGGAATGGAATGTATGGTGGATGGGGAGGGGGGAATTATAGTAAGAGTTCATTAAGTCTGCAGTTCCTAAATAAGGACTTGTAGATGCTTTGGGCATCCTTTAAGAACAAAAAGTTATTTTTCATTCAAACATGTTTTATCATTTTTAAAATAATGTATTTTCCCAATTTGCTATGACTGGGGAAATTTAGATTTATTTGAAAGCATTATAGAATCCAGGACAGCTTTTATATAACTGGATTTTCTCAAAGAAAACATATTAAAGTACAACTCTTATTATGGGGTCCAGAGCATTCCTTGATTGATCGATTGATTCATTCATTCATGCATTTATCTTAAAAAATTTTACTTTTACGACAGCATATTATAGTGGTAAGGGGTATGTTTACTGAAGCCAGACTATGTACTGAGCCCTGAGATTTCCCACTTATTAACAGTAAGTGGATTTATTTTTAATCTCTCTAAATCCAGTTTTCTCATATGTAAATTTGTCAAAATACTAGTAATCTCATTTGATATTTATGAGGAATATGTGAAACTTTGAATATAAAATATTCAGTATGCTATTAAGCACAAAGTAAGAAATCTAAGCTATTATACTATGTCAGACAATGTCTGGTAGACATCACATGGTGCTTACATCATATTCAAAATCTGAAAAACAAACTGAAGTAATTTCTCTAATAATTTGCCTTGAGTTTGAGTGACAGTGAACCAAGATCAGAATCAGTTTATTTAAATTTATAATTCACTTTTGATTCTTTTACTGGACTGTGAATTCAGCCACAATTTCTTAATCTTATTATTTTTCCCTTTACACTGTGAAGAGATAATACTTAGCTTACCTTTCTTTGCGTAATAGATACAAAATTATTTATGAGCCATAGCCTAGACACCCCCTTCCTATTCTTTGCTGCGCCTTTTTTCATTCTCTCTTAATTCTTGAGTTGACTGTTTCAAAACTTTATTGTCACCCTAGGCTTTGATTTATAGCACTGATCTCTGTAACCTGTCACTCTGACTTCTAAGTTGTCCTGAAGTTGACACTTAATATGAAGAATATCAACCATCATTTTGATGAAGAAACACACCTAGAAACCTACAGTAAAATTACATTCCAGAAAATGGTTTACAGTTTTAAGTCAACTATTTCTTGTCATGATGTCGTTACTCTAATGGAGATGATTTGGGGACCTACTTCCTTGATTGATGTGGAAAATATGAATGGAATTTATAACCAAAATGCAAGAAGAATACAGGTGTTGGATAACAAGCATTTGATAACCATGATAAAAGGTGCGAAGCAGTCATTTAAAAATGAGTGGAATTGCCTTCTGATGGATTTGGTTCCTCAGCATGAAAGATCAACTTAAAAGTGGTTGCTCTCAGATGAAGTAAAACAAATAAGAACAAAACATCTCCTATATATGGTTTCTTTTTTTGTTTATTTGGGTCTAGTTGAAAATTGGCTTCAAGGCTTTAAACTGTGAGTCACAGGCATTTGTTTATGGTTTATTAAATGTTTGCTATACTGTCTATCGTTGTTTAAAGCAAGGGTACTCTGTGGCTTCTAGGGTGATTTATGCACACATAGTTAACTTGACATTTTATTTGTCCTGAAATCATGTAAATATTTCTGAATTAAGAGGGTTCTACTGGGGAAGGAGGAAAAGAAGTTGAGGGATGGGCAGGAAGAAAGAAACAAGAGACTCAGTGTTTTATGTACTTTATCACAAAGAAAATCTGGCATTCATTTTAAACCAGTGTGGTCTGTGCTATGCTTTGGTGAATTATGCTCACACATTTCTAGTCAACAGAGTAGAACACAGACTCATCTGAAAATGAAAAGCTTTACTCTATATGCATTGTGAGAGATGCTCGACTTTATCCTTATCCATCAATCTTACCTCCTTGACAATATCATACATGCTGCCCAGGGAGAGGATGCTGTTAACCATTGATATAGAAGCACTCGTTTAATTTAGTTACTACACCCTGTTGATTTTTATGAGTGGTGGGGGAACTGTTTAAACAGGACGTGTTGTGTCGACAACTGTGCACTGCTCTGCAGTGAGCAGCATTTTAAATGATTTTCCCATCTCTAATCTTTTTCCCCCATCCAGTCAGAAACATAGTCTATAGTGCTTTGGGAATATTTATATTTAAATCTTTATTGTAAGTTCCATTGTAGCAAGAAAAAATGTAAATAACACACTTTATTTCCATAATTTTGCAGAGTATTTTGGCTATCAACCTAGTGTTTATAGTCAGTGCATTTAAAATCATCTACATTTTGGACAGTAGGCATAAAACTCTCCTGGTTTATCTCTTAGAGAAATAAGATTGCCCCCCACAAAAGATAGCTATAATATATGCACCTTTGAATAATTAAATGAGCTACCGAAGAGGAAAAGGATTCTAATCAGCTTTCAAACTGTGATTGTGCCATGCACTGAATCATTTCTTTATGAATACATTTCTCTTGGAGCATGTATAATTGTGAAACTTTTTTTTCTATCTTGGTAGGAACTGGGAAGTAACAGTCCTCCACAGAGAAACTGGAAAGGAATTGCTATAGCCCTGTTGGTGATTTTAGTTGTATGCTCACTCATCACTATGTCAGTCATCCTCTTAACCCCAGGTAATCTGTCTTTATTCCTCTCTTATGATGGTATGTGGATAATAATTTCACATTCAGATGCCTTAAGAGTATAGCCATATATGGTATCTTAGGGTGCACTAGCATTGGTTGAAATAAGATGTATAACCAAACATTTTTCAGATAGCACAGTAATCTTGTTCAAATATCGTGCAAAATATTTTTGAGAAACTGAAATATAAAATACATACAATGAGAATGCCAAGATGTTTGATCTCCATTGCTACTTAGAGACTGATATTTGACAGTTTAATAAATGCAGAGTCATTTGACTTTTATCGTGGGTTGAAGATGAGGGAGTGGAGTCTGAAAGTCCCCATATATAGATGATAAGCCCACTGTAATGACAATGAAGGGAGGAATTGAAGAACACAGAGGATTATATCAAAAGAGAATGAGCTAAGCCTCTAAATGCTTCTTTCTCCTTTTCTTTCATTCCCTTTAGTTTTTATACTTTGAGTTTCTCCCTAAAGAACCATTCTAAATTGCCCTTGCAATAATCTTTGGACTATGTTCTTTATATTGAAATGTTTAACATTAATATATAAATTATCAATAGGCTTAATTCTTCTTTGGGTATTATTTCAATACATGGAAATTTTACTACTCTTTAGTAGGTGCTAATATGGAAGGCAGAAAAAGGCTGCTTATTTTTTTAAAATTTCCAAGATGTCTTTGGGGAACATATATATTTTGCGTGCTGCTACAACCCACCCAACTAGCTTCCTCAAAGAGTGAAAATCCATACAGGACTCAAAATTGTTTAAAAAAAAAAAAAGTCATTTCTGGAATAGGATTGAGCTAGTCTAAAAATTGACTAGTATTAAGCTATAGACCATTTTTGAATGTTACATGTTTCCATTCTGTTACAATATGTATGTATTATGTAGTTCCTGCCTTGGCTTTGTTACTTATGGAGCTACTTAAATATGTTGAACTCATTTCCTTATGTACAAATTATGGTTAACAATAGCTCTTTTTCAGAAACATTTAGTCAACTAATTATGAAGACTAATTATACAAGTGGCGATATCAATTGTTCCAATGTAGTACTTTGTGAAATATTCCACCTTGGTAGTAATATAGGCTTTGAAATGTATAAAATCTCAAAAATATAGCTTATAGTTGTTATTTAACATAAGAAGAGATTGAGAAAGAAATTAAGGGAGTCAGGAGGGAGGAAAGGGAAAGAAAACATTTTTTTAAAAGAAAGAAAAAAAATTACTGTTAAAGGCTGGTTGTTTTATCCAGTATTGTCTTCAGGAACCCTCTCTTAATTGCCTCATTTGTACATCTGCAGTACAATGTAATTGAGCAATATGATGGCTCTAAGTTGCTGCAGAATGCCAAGAGTTTTTGTTAATAGAAGTTGAGCTTATGTTCAGCATAGTGTTTCACTTAAACATAAGCATTTTAGCATAATTATTAAAAAATGAATGATTTAGTTTTATTGCTTTCTATTGATGACTCTTAACCAGATGGAGAAAATTAGTGCCATGTTGCCTGTGTGTTTCTCTTAAACTTTCTTCTATACTAATTTTAGTATCGTTTCCCAGTGATTCACTTTCTCAGATTTTCTTGTTACTTTCTGAGGCTGCACTGATACTTCGGCGTCTTTGAGAGTTTGTATAACAAAGACTTTATAGAGTTGGCCATTCACTAAACTAAACTCCCTCTACTCAACCCTTTCCATGTTGCCCCCATATAAAAACACAGCATAGTTGCACTCATTATGTCATTCACTTATTCTTTTATTAAAGCAAGGGCTTTGGGCAAGACACACACCTTGGTTTGAGTTCTAGCTCTATAATTTAATATTTTTGAGCACTTGGCTAGTTATTTAGTCTTGTTTCTCACTTTACTCATCTGTATTATGGGTACAATATATAGCACCAACTTTATAGTATTATTATGAGGGATAAATGCAATAATATACTTCAAATGTTTAGTAGTATCTAGCAGTCCTACTGCTATTCATCTTATGATTGCTCTTATTCAGTTCTTACTGACCATTAGACACAATGCCAAAAACTGTGTTACATGAGAGAGATTTCCAAGAGAAAATATAAAGTCTCTCAGGAATATAGATTTCTGTAATTTTGATGTTAAATTACATCAGATGGAAATCTGGAGTCAGTTTCAGTGCTCTGCTTGTTCATTCATTTATTCCTTCATTGATAGACAAATACAGAGTTCTTAAAATATTCTAAGTGCTATGGTAGTTGTCTAGTACTCCAATGCATTGTAACTATCACCTCCTTTCTCAACTACACAAACACACAACTCCTCAACGTCCCCAAACCAAAGGCTTAATCATTTAAGTGGAAATGGCAGTTATTTTTTAAATGTACAGTTTACTAATACATTCCACCTACTACCTGTTCAAATGTCTTTAGATTTCTCTACTAATTTTTGCAGAGATATTATGAAATGAAAAATAAAAGTCAGTGTTCTTGAGTGGAAAAGGTATTGCTATAGGAAGCACAAAACCTGTTTTCTATACTCTCTGTAAACTTACTGGGGGCCTAGAAGATTATAAAATTGAAGAAATGAGTAGATGTAATGCCAGTGGTTAGGAGTTTGCTTGAGTCAAGAGCAGGCAAATACTAGCCTAGTTACATGACCCTCATGAAGGCCTCAAACCAAACATATCCGAGTGAAATATAAGGCCAGAAACCTAACAGTTTGTGGCCCAAGACCTGAATCATAAACCTGGAATTATTCTTAGAAGTTTTCTAATCTTGTCTCCCTCATTAGATAGGAAAAACCTGTTTGTTTAACTTCTAGTTCTGGCGACTAGAATGCATTAAGACCATTAATGTAGACTTTTGATTTAGCATGTCTGCCTGTGCTTGTCTGTGGTCAGACTCTAGTAGTCTAATTGCACAAAGCCTTTCTCTTCTCACTCTCAAGCTTGAGACCCCACAGCTATACTTGAATAGATCCACAAGGAAAACCTCCTACTTGAAAGATAATATACAGCATCCCCCAACTTTTCATCCTGCCTTTGTCCACCAATATGTTGCTAAGGCTCAGCTTTCTAAGTAAAATCATTCAGGCAGGTATAAACTTTCAACCAGGAAGGGGAATCCATGTCAGGAGAGGAAAGTCGGTAAAGTTTGGACCTTACTGAATAATTTATGGACCAACACGACACTAGACCTTAGGTCAAAGGGTTGACTCCAGAACAGTGCTTCCAGTAAGGATGAGGGTCAGAAATTCATATGCATTTTATAGCTATATGTCTTTGGGAACATCAGTTACCTCCTTTGTCCTCAAGCATTTGTTGAAGAAAAGGGCGTATTTGGTTTGCCAGAATGAGAAGTAATCTCTTAAAGTTTATTACAGCTCTAATATCAATGATCAAAAACAACAATGATAATAGGAGTTTATTTCATAACAAATATAGCAACAGATTAAATCTGATGTCCTCTCTCACTAAGCTGCTTCTACCTTGAAAATATAGTTAGTGGTTATTTTTGGGGGGGAGGATAGAGAAAGCATGCAAGAAGTTTTCTAGTCTAAGACATGATTTAGAAACTGTTTTGCTCAAAATAGCATCACATTTTACAGGTAAGTGCTAAGGAATGCAAGTCTATAACCAGAAAAACACATGTTCATTGTAATTTTGGTTTGATTGCAAATTTTATTACAGAAGTAATTTGACACAGGTGTCTTAATTTCCAAGATTGTGAGCAACTTCCCTGCCTTGTAAAGAAAAGTCCTAATTATTTCTGAAGAGTAGGTTAACCATTCAAGTATTTCCTTAATAAATATTTCTGAAAGGAACAAATTATGGACCCCAATTTTTCTGATTAAACAACAGACATTTTTAGATGCATTGATCAAGCCCACTTTTTTTCTGTTTGCATTGAATTTGTTTAAAGAAAAAAAAAAGAGTACCTGTGTTTATTTGAAGAATATGTAACTATAAGATTAATAATTCTCCTCTAAAAACATGTGAGTAGACATTCATGCTTAAAGTTTTGAACACCAATCTTATGTAGCTATGCATTTACTTTGCAGTCTCATATTTATATTTAATATGTAGAATAAGACTGTGGTCAGGAGACATTTCATGCACACTACAGTTACCCATTTAGACCTGTTTTGAGAAGAGAGATGCATTTTTTATGAGTTATAAAATATTTGGTAGAGGATATAGATCAAGTTCTTTAATTCAGTTGCCATATTGAAATAGCCACCTGTGGACTGTGTATATTCTACCAGTTTTCAGCAGCAGTGACCTGTTGCCCTTTGATTGATGTCTGTAATCAGTCAGTGTCAAAGCAGGGTCATTGAGTTAATTTACTATCACGGTGGACTAAAGACAAACTCATAAAGCACAGAACTTGTGTCTTCATCATTAGCTCTAGCTCTCGCTTCTTTAGGCAATTTCTCATTCCTTTAGTACTCTGTCTAGGTGAGCATCCTGAGTTGGTCTTTACATGTCTATCAGAATATGAAAGAAGCCAAGCACTCATATATAAGCGAAAAGAACTCTGCTTTGTCCAGTTTCACTATGCAAATATCTTCAGTTTCACTTTTAGGAGTATCTTTAATAGTAAGAATTTAAAATTAGGTTCAGATGCTATGTTGGGGAAGAATTTACACAGGTTGAGGTCGCCACTTTGATGTTGATAGTTAGGTAAATATTTATATAAGATAAGGATTTGATCCATGAAGATATGCTTAAATAGTTCATTTGAGCCAAGATTTGGGACTAAGAAAGTAGAGATGAACTAGAGGAGTTTAGGCAACTCTCTCCAGAAACAAACAAACAAAAGTGGACATTAACATTTAAGGATGTATGCCTTTTTTCTGAAGAAACACCAACTTACATTATTTTCAAAGTGTGTGTGCAAAATTATCTCATTTATTTCTTATAACACACCAATATAAAGAAAGAGCAGTTTTTAAATAATACAGTTAAGGTCAGGAAAATTTGTATGACTTAGGTACCTAATTTGTGCAGAAGTATG